GTCTTAAAGACACAGCGCACCCTTTTTTTGTATTATTGTAGTATTCTTAGGAAAACACCAACAGAGGCGACAACCCCAACGGTTATATGTGGAGACCTCAACCATACTATGGACTCACGCATAGACTCGATGACGCCTAGCGACTCCATCAGACATGTTAAACTGAAAAATGCAAACAAAGCACTAGTAAAGCTCATTCAAGAATATGGTTTATATGACGTATGGAGAACAACGCACCCCTCAGCAAGGGAATACACATTCCTATCGCAGACACACAAACCTATTCCAGAATTGACCATATACTCATATCAGGCACCTTGCTCACACAGGTGGAAGAATGTAACATTGGAAACATAGTGTGGTCAGATCACGCGCCAGTGACCTTATCAATACACAACCAATACCAGCACAGAGGAAAACTACCGTGGCGTCTTAACGACACACTCCTATATGACGAATCTTATGTAACAAAACTGGCAGAAGACTTAAGAAATTACTTTCAGCTAAACGACAACCAAGAAGCATCAATACTTTCTATTTGGCAAGCTCATAAAACGTTCCTAAGGGGTCAGCTGATCAGCCGAGCATCATATCTCCACCGCCAGCGCAACAAATCATATACAGACCTACTCAGAAGACTGAGAGACACCACAACGGCTCACCTCCTGAACCCGACAGATGCATATGCAGAAGCCATCAAGGATCTCACCGACCAACTCAACACCAAGGCGCTGGAAAAGACGGCCTACATCCTCACGAAATTGAAATTGAACTCCTACTCCCAAGGCAACAGGGCAGGAAAACACCTAGCTAACATACTCAGGCAGAAACAGGCAAACTCCAAAATTCCATTCCTGATTACCAACGCAGGAGACAAACCTCACAACCCGCAAGACATAAATGACAGTAAGGCAGACTATTATCACTCTCTCTACAACCTCAACACAGACCAGACACTTCACCAACCCAAGGCACAAGAGATAGATGAATTTCTCACCTCTGTCCAACTACCCACACTTACGGACGACCAACAAACAACTCTCAAAAATCCCATAACGATAGATGAAATAATAGACACCATTAACTCCCTCCCGAAAGGGAAGTCACCAGGCCCAGATGGACTGACTAACCTATACTATAAACGCTTTGCCCCTAACATAGCCCCCTATCTACAAAGAGTTTTCCAACACACACTACAAACGGGGACACTACCGACAGAGATGCTTATGGCACACGTCGCCACCCTTCCCAAACCAGGAAAACCACCGAACAAGTGCCAGAATCTACGGCCCATCTCCCTTTTGAACACAGACATAAAGATACTGGCAAAAATTTTCTCTAACAGACTAACGCACATAATCCCCACAATTATAGGAAGAGATCAGGTAGGGTTCGTAGGGGGAAGACAGGGAGCAGATGGCACAAGAAAGACCCTAAACCTGCTTTACAAGATGCAAAATAAAAAAAAACCCTGGGGTTCTGCTATCACTGGACGCAGAAAAGGCCTTTGATAGGCTACACTGGCCCTTCTTACTAGCAGTTTTACAGAAATTCGACTTCCCAGACCAGTTCCTATCGTTAGTCAAAGCACTGTACTCGTCACCAACTGCCCGGGTAGTGAACGGGGGATTCATATCAAAACCATTCACCATCACTAATGGCTCTAGACAGGGATGTCCACTCTCCCCACTGCTTTACATTCTGGCGCTAGAACCCCTTACCCATCTCATCCGCGAACATCCAGACATACATGGCATTACAGTGAGAGGACGGGAATACAAAATGTCCCTATTTGCAGATGACATCCTTCTAACCCTTGAACAACCAAGTGTGTCACTGCCAAACTTTCACAAAATACTCTCCCACTATGGCAACTGTTCCTATCACAAATTAAATATCACAAAAACCCTAGCACTAGGAATAAACATTCCACACACAGACCTGACAACCCTAAAACTGAAATTTACCTATGACTGGAGGAGAGACCACATCAAGTTCCTAGGGGTTAACTTCACTCCTAAGGCGAATACACTGTATAAGGCAAACTACATTAAACTACAAGCAGACATCCAAAAAACTCTGCAAAACTGGAAAGGCAAATATATTTCATGGACAGGCCGTATAGCATCGGTGAAAATGGTAATCCTACCGAAAATCCAATATCTGTTCCGCACTCTGCCAATTAAACTCCCGAAACGATACCTACTAGAGTTGCAGACCACTTTAAACAACTACGTCTGGGACTACAAAAAACCAAGGGTCGCTAAGACAACTCTACACAGACCACCCGCCCAAGGCGGAATGGGACTCCCCGACATCATGGGATACTACAGAGCTGTCCACATAACCCCTCTGGTAACTATTTCACACAGACAAGAACTCACACCCTGGGCCGAAATAGAGAAAAGCCACGCACAGGGGCTATCACTCCGACTCCTGGCATGGCTGCCAAAAACCCACAGACCAAAGGCCACTGAACTACTACCTACAACTGCATTGACCCTTGCGATTTGGGACACGTATCGAAAGAAAATGGGGGCAACAGCAACGCTTTCTCCAGCACTCCCATTAGACGCGTTCCAAATACTGATACCAGACTTTAACTATAAACTTTGGAAGAGACACGGGGTGAACACTATCTCACAAGTAATGCAAGGTAACAAACTTAAACCACTACCAGACCTCCAGACGGAATTCCAACTATCCGGCACGGCAACTTTCTCTTACAGGCAATTGAGATCATGGGTACTCGCCCAACCAACACCACAAACATTATAACCACCAAACGCACACTGGACAACAGTAATCAAAATATGTACGAAGACAAAACCTGCAACGAAAATAATCTCCACAATATACGCTTCAGAACACGTGCAAACACTGATCAAACCACCCTCCTTTATAAAAGGGTGGGAACAGGACATAGGTCATCAGCTGACTGCAGAACAATGGCAAGCCATCTATTGTGCAAATAAACGAATGACCCTATCCACGACACATGTGGAGCTGTCCCGCAAGATACTGTACAGATGGTACCTGGTACCCACAAGACTCAAACACAGCTTCCCGGATACCTCAGACTTATGCTGGAAATGCGCAGCGGACAGAGGAACTATGATACATATTTGGTGGCATTGCCCAACACTCCGACACTTCTGGTCCCAAGTCATAGCAATAACGACACACTGCACAGGAGTGCGCTTACCGAACACACCAGAAACGCTCCTACTTCTCCTATTCCCACAGATACAACACACGCACACACAGTACTTAGTGTACCACATTGTAATTGCAGCCCTCACCATCATCAGCAGACAATGGAAGCAAACTACCTCCCCCACAATCAACCAATGCATAGAAGCAATAGAATATACCAAAACTTACGAACTCATGGCAAGAAAAACAAAACGAGGAAAGCCCTACTGGCTCGAAGCATGGAACCTATGGGACAAACAAAAGCACACATATATGAACCTGACAGACAAACAAAACATACAAATTGCAATTAGCTAGATACTCCCCTGAGAGGAGGCATATCACTCCAGACAACATGTCCACAGGGACCCATGTAAGATACTCATAAACACATCCACTGTAGCAACAGCTGTATTCGCAGTACATCCTTTTACCCCTGCTCATGCCTTCCTGATCCCTCCTTCCCCCATTCACCACACCCCACTAGGCGACCATAAACACAAAGAAACAGCTTGGACCATACCCGCCCCAATACCAACCATATCCACCACTGCCGCGCCTACATAGGTAGCACTCACTGCATAATTCCAAAGGGTTGAGAGCATTAGGTCAAGACCACTACTATGGAATGGTTAAGCATACAAGTGTGGATCTACATAGTTATGAACATGAGATACCCAATGTATGGCAACTGAATGTACTGTAAAACCTTGTAATGTACTGCGAAACCTGTACCATCTGGTATCAGACAATTTTTTTTCCCCCTTCTTTCCTTCTGTACCCCACCCCCATCTTTTTGGAAAAAGAATAAAAATTGTCAAATTCAAAAAATCTCGGGTTAACCTTGCATTTTGGATTAAGGGGAATTTCACCATACATGTCATATACAATTTACCGTACATTAAACTCCTGCACGGGCTCAACGTCATGTTAATTCACAATAATTGACAGTTCACATCAAGAACAGTGGTTCTACCGACACTCCACCTACAGGTCTGTCAAATACATTGACAATTTTCATAGGGTTTTACAAACACCAAAACAATGACCCCTAAAGGTCAACAGACAAACAAAATTTTTCACATACCAATCAGTATCCAACCACACTGCCACCTACAGGGCACTCGGCAGATCTCAAGTGCACTTACATTTTGCAACACCATGATTCACTGACCCCTACCGGTCAATAAGACATACAACAATTCACATAGCAAGTAGTATATCACCATCTGGTATAAAAACACATATTATTACACAGTAGCAGACACATCTGCATATACGTAACCGGTAATATAGTTCACAAACGCATTTTTACACAGAACGCTGCTCACACAACTTTCCCCCAGCAAGGGGACATATAACATACAAGGTGGGGCCAGACCACTTTATCACTTATACATACGGCACTTAATGGGTTAAGATTGATACATATTTAACCAGTATGGCTACGATGTTTCATATTTACACATCACAGCACTTTACTTTTCACATATACTGCACGTATTAAGATGAGCTTGGTCTATGCCATATTTCCTTATATCATATGGTTTATCCATTTAGGTTACAGGTACTACTAAAAAACCTATACAGATTGTCGGGTTCAATACCATACTACCAGGTACGTACACCTGCTCACATAGTTATTCATATTGTACCTTCACTGGAATAGTAAAAACGTACTGGCAATTAGGGTTTTAGGGTCCATAGGTATTACCCCCCTTTATTCTCTACATCATGCTTCGGTTAGTGGTCCGGCGAGGCCAACACTCTGCCTCACACTTGGAGGTATACACCCCTCGGGCCACTCATGAGCTAGCCGCCTCACCTGTCACTCCCCTTCCTATTTTCTGGTTACTGTCACTGAGAGGCCAACATCCTGCCACAACGTTCGGTGGCCACAAAAAATCCCCTCGCGCCAATGCATAGATAGAGCCTCTCAAGCCACTTGGCAACTAGCAGGGCCTCACCAGTCACCAAAAAACACCAAGCCTAATCGTTTCGCTTTACAGCTTAGCTAGCAAGCCAGTACAAGATCCCAGGGTACAAATAATAATTACTATCTTTATTGTTATATAAGTATGTCTCAAGAAGGTGGCGAAGAATTACGTCTTCCTAGCACCCCGGCTAGAATTGATACACCTTCAAGCAGAGGAGATGTTGCTAGTCCAGCATCAATCAGATCCTGGACGATCCCACACATTACCACCGACCTAAGGAGGCGACAAATCCCCTACCCTGCCTCCACAAAGAAAGCAGAGTTATTTAAACTCCTCCGCACATCAACGGACAACACGGAGGCGGGGGAAGGCCCCAGCAACACCAACGCAGGTGACACCAAGGCCATGCTAGCCTCACTCTTAAACTCATGAGCAAAAATTAACGACAGACTGGCAATCGAGTCAGTCACCACAGCCCTCACAAGGCTGGGCCTCACACTACTGTACAACCAGCACCAACCTAAATTCGGTTACCTGGTACAATCAACTCTCCTGATACTCAGCGCATTAACCCTGCACATATGATCCCAGCACACAGTAACAGAGCTATCCTGGCAGGTAAAAGATGTCAACTTAGCATCTCTACCAATTGCCATTCTAGGCCATGATAGTCTCACTCATGATCTCCATGAGAAAATTAATGCCAGACTGGCAAAATCTCGAATCAGTCACCTAAGCACTCACAAAGGCTGGGCCTCCCTCTACCATACAACCAGCACCAACCGAAACTCTGTTACCTCGTACAATCAATTCTTACAACACTCAAGACGTTAACCCTGCACATATGATCCCAGCACATTATATATATATGTATGACAATGTATATATGATGGTCAGATCCAGGAATTCCAGGTAAATCGGGAACTGACCATCCCTGAGTTGTTTTGGCATTTGGCATATGTAGAGATGATTATTTGTGCAAGTACCCTAACAGAAGGGATTTTGTCCCAACCAAACGGACGAGCACTCTCAGGCTCCAGGTACCAGCTCCTCTGGTAGAACGGAGCGAACTACCAGTGACAATCGGTATGTATAGTTGCAGTACGTATAGACTGTTGCGTATATGTTCAAATGGTTCAGGGCACATGACAAACCATTTGTCTCAATACAACTTACAAAAAACGTACTCAACATCTGTAAACATCAATGCACTTTACACTACTGACTCATAACCCTTCAAGACTTGTAGTAGATTTACTAGAGTTCTGGAGTTTCAGAAGGCTCCCATACATGTATTGTAAATATACCTTTGGGGAATATAGCATGCCCTCACTTGAAACACACTCATAGCCAAGATTTGCAGAGGGGTTTTTACTTAGGCTTTCCAATCTCCACCATTTACAGCATGGCACACAAACACATTGGTATAGTCACAGGGAAATCTTCCCTTAAACAAAGACTAACCATAGACTTATAGGCACCAAACACCTCTGTTACCCAAAGTCTCAAATCCCTCATACCCTCTGAGGAGTTTCCTCCACTCAAGCATGGGTTGAAGCTTGGTTAAGTATGACCAATATCATCAACACATTAAACGGCTACCATCTACCCTACACACTGGCACTTATATGGCATAAAATGGGCAGGCAGTTACTAATCCTTTCCCCGCTCACCTTTCGGGCTACAAATTAGCCAACTATCAATATTGGCAGATACTCTGTGCTGGTTATGATAACACATCCAGGGGCCTTACAGTCATACACTATCTAGATGACTTCTTGTTGATCGAGGATAACTTTTTCACTAGAAGCCTCACGGAAGCTTAGTCTGGTAGACCACTTGGGTGTCCCAGTACTTCATAAGAAACAGAAGGCCCAGACAATACCATCACATTACTGGGCATACGACTTGATTTAGAATCCATACACGCAAGTTACCACAAGACAGATAGGGAACATTCTCAACTACAACATCACTACTTCCTGCTTAGTACTTGCAACCACAGGGACTTACAATCCCTACCAGGTTCCTTAATTTTGCCATGCAAATCATACCACAAGACCACGCTTTCACATCCAGACTACTTCCCCCTTTTTTCACACTTCCATCATGACGATCAGAGGATGTCCCTAGATACCCTATCCACAGCAGACCTGCACAGGGGGAAGAATTTCTTGGCCACTTGACATGGTTCCTCCCGGGGTTGTCTGACACTCCTCCAACCAGATGGTCAGACACGGCGTCTACCAAGGGTTTGGCAGCAATCTACCGGGAATGATGGTTTTGGACCATGGCATCCAGGTTTGGAACTTTTCCTCCACCTCAGGCCCTTTTGGAGATCTACCCCGTTGTAGCAGCTGCTGTGGAATGGGGTCAATCATGGTCAGGGTCATCAATATGTTGTTACTCAGACAACTAAGCACATGTCATATCATCAACAAAACCACTCATCATACATACAATCAGGATATTTCTAGGGAACTCACTTGGTTCGCCGCTTGTGACATTTCTTTTTGCTTTCATGTACCAGGTGGTGGCAACATCCCTGCCGACAATTGTCTTATTTATATTCCAGGCATGTTTATCATACGCTTCCTACAGCCGCCCATACAGTCATGGCCACCTTTTCGTTCCAGAGACTAAATCATGGATTAGACATACTCATGCAGCATAGCATGCACTATCTCACTTAACAATTTCGTCCTCTACTTGTAGACTGTATAAGACAGCTTTCACCTGGCTTAAAGATTCTTATTGGAACACGGCAAATATCAACCAATCTCAACATCTCTCCTAGGTTTTGCTTCTTTTTTGCCATCTTAAACTGGAACTCTCACACACCATTAAATTATATATTTTACAGGCATTCAACAACACATGCTAACCCTATTGCCTAAACTACCATAGCTTCATGCCATCATACCAGACAAGAATATACTCAGAGGTTTACAAGAATCCATCCCCCCACGTTCCTCCCAGAGATTACCAATAGCCATCCAACTTTTCCATTCTTATCTGACCTATAAGATCTACAACCGTTTAATTATACTACCAATTCGGCCATTACCGGCCATGTACACAGCCTTCCACGCCTTTCTCAGGCCAAGAGAATCCACTACCATCACCACCACTCAGACAGATCATTGTCTTCAACGATCCCAACCATGTAAACACATAGATCACTACCTATTGGCTCTACTACATTCCAAAACGAGTCACACGCACCAGCAGTAGAGCTAACATACTATCCTACCCACAACAAATGGTGTCTAGTTGCGGTCCTAGATTCCTACCTTAAAAATCCTTCCAGGAATTAAATAATGCATTTAAGGAATGTCTGGTTAATTCGTATATATTTGTTGACTGTATTAAAATCTTTGATTATTCATTTTTGCCCTCTTTATTTAGAGGCCTACTGTATCGTCGGTCTCGGCACACCACAACCGACTTGCTCCCTTTATACTATCCTACTCTTATGCTGGAACCTTACTCCAAATACAGCTATTTGCCCCTAACACAAAAAAAAAAAAAAAAAAATATATATATATATATATATATATTTTAATTTAATTTTTTTATTTATATACACACATACATACATACACATATACATACAAACATACATACATACATACATACATATACATATACAGACATGTATTATATGTGTCAATATGTTTTAAGGCCTGTATTTGTGGGAGGAGTTTAAAACTATCTTGAACCTTTAAATCTCCAATCACCCTCTTACCTGCATAATGCTCGTTTTCAAGTGTTCTTGTTGGAATAGCAACCTGAGACTTCTGGTCCAAATTTCCCAGCATTCAACAAATGCAAGCAGTTCATGGAAGACGTCTTCCTGGCTCCATAGACTACTCTTTGCAGTTCCCAGCCAAGGAAAGCAGAGAAATGCAAAGCTTCCCCAGTCTCCTGTTCTCTGACACCTCTTCTTCCGACCAAAAGATCCGGCACGTTACTTATGTACATGTGGAAAAGGCCGTTCGCGCCTTTTCCCACGTTCGGGCCTAAAAACGTGATCGGCTCCCTTTATACTCACCTTTCGTTAAAGTTTTCATTTGTGCCTTCTTTTCCGTTCGGTAGTTTCATAGCATGTTATAAATACTGCCTTTCCATATAGATAGCCATTCATTTCCTCCGTTTAGGAGTGTTTAGCCATGTTTTATACTGACCTTTTCGTAAAATTCCATTTTGTGTCGTTTCAGAAGTTTTTAGATGTATCATATATACTTATTTTTCGTTAAAATTCATTTGTGTCGGTTACCTGTTCGTGAGTTTTTCATAGCAGTACTGTATACTTACCTTTCGTCTAAACCTATTCGGATCTTTCTCTATTCAGGAGTTTTTAGCTGTGGCATTTGTGTTACAATTCATGCCAAATTCAATTTGTATGAACAGTACCTGTCTACTGTTACAAGCATCCATTCGGATGAACGATATCATCCATTCGTTTAGATGTCTTTTTCACATCGGTTTTATTCAGGTCATTTTAAATCATGATAATTCAGTTAGTTATAAGTCTAAAATGCAAGTTTTTCATTTAAAGGCAACCATTCCCGAACATTTAAATTTATATAGTAAATATTATGTTTAAACTCAATACTATGTTTAAACATAAATACTCCAGGACAATTAAATTATATTGCATAAATTAGCATATTTTCTATGTCATAAGCTTAGAAATTTACCTGTAAACACTTTCTTATAGGTGTCATAAGACTGGCCTACCGTGGCCATCTCAGCCTTTTTTTGCAAGTGTTTCCACAATTACCATACCACGCGCTTATGAAGCGCGTCACGTGTTTTGGCTTTACATGCCGAAAATTCTTTGAATTATCACTCGTTTTTATAAATACATTATATATTTCATAACACACAAGTAATATTTATGGATTCTTACTGTCATAACTGTTTTTATGTGTAATAATCTGCTTTATAATTGGTCAGAGCAGTTTTGGTGCCATTTTCAATTTGTCCCATGCCTATATGTACCCCAACTAGCCAGGTTGCAAAGTTTTTTAATCCATTGATAAGGCCTATATTGGTGAAACGCGATTGGATATTGTACCGCT